ACATTACACTGATAAATGGAGACAGAAATGAGAAGAACGAACAACATTTGGATAGAACTAGAAAGGTAGATACAGGACAGAGTGAGTTTGAGTATGGTGGTCAGGGACCTACGCTCCATTCTGGGTAACAGGTGTATGTAACGAAGTAAGTAAGTAAGTATGTAAGTAATGTTCAGTCGAGTGTTTGTTTTACAGTTTTCTATCAAAACTATCAGATTATTAAACATTCAACTGAAACTAATTGACAATATTTCATATGTAACTTGATTTCTATTCCAGATGAAAGGAAAGTGTTCAAATACAATGAAACTGATCATAACTCTGAACTCCAAACTACTGTATTGCAGCATAAAGCAAACGGTGCAACAAAATCACATTGGAAGAAGAAGGAACAATTTCAGATGATTAAGGACAAATAACTAAATTGTTTAGATAAAATTGAAAACTGTTTCTATCCTTAAGAGCAAACTGAACTATATTCATATTTATAAGCAAAGATGGATAGTGGCTAGCAGTGGAATCCAGGACGCGCGTTTCGTCCTGTTTGGGACTCGTCGGCTGGATGTACCTGCATCTCAGAGTTGATGTTCACTCTGGGACTCGAACTCAGTACCGTTCGCTTCAAACGCCATCGCGTTATCCACTTAGCTACTGAGTCCTGATAGCCACTTGCTTGTGCAATGGGTTGAAGTTGAATTCACTTGATATTATATTTGTTTACTGTGTGTGTGTGTGTTAATCATTAAGGTACTGTATTTCTCTGTTTATTTTATTTTATCTGAACTAAAACAATTTGATGACATAAATTAGATGAAAGAAATCGGAGGTGTCATCACTAAAGGAATCAATCCATTGATTTGTAGAAGATTAATAAAACCTGATTTTAATTCAAATCATCTCAAAGTTGAAAATGCTTCTTAAGCTCAACAAGAACCAATCAACACTGAGGTCTACAGGATAAGCTGTGAGCCATATGGTTGGAAATTTAAACACTTCAGTTCTACCTGAACTTTGTCCTGATGATGTCATTCAGAAGAACGATGAAAGCTTCACGACTAAACCATCCTATTCAAAGAACAATACTCCATCAAAATCAACCACATAAACTACAAATCTTCTCCAACATCTGAAAACACATCTTGAATTACTGTATGTGTAGTTTGTACTTTTGTAGCTGTTATAAGTAGTAGTACTGTTGCAAGTAAAATTCATGAACAATTACCACACAGTAGTATCAACTTCATTATAGCAAGTTCGATTGTCAAATAAAACATTGAAACAAATGAATTTCCGTCAGTGAAAATCGAAAGTAATAGTCTCACTTCTCAATACTTTTCTATATGTGGTGCACTGAACTACAAAGAGGCTGTTCCTTCAAATGATGACTTGATTATTTATACGACTGAAAGCATTGTTAGTTCTGTCTGCTTCGTTGTTTATCTTTCAATGACAGTGATAAGAGGTTACACTCACTTTCACGTTTGACGTTGATGTTATTTACATATTACTATTTAGTAGTACTTAATTTAGAAGCCGCACGATGTTATCGACGGACTCACCACTTTAGTGGCTCGCTATCTCACTTCAATTTGATCGTATGAATGATCGCTGTCGAAATAGACATATCGCCAATCCTCGTATAAAATTATCGACGTAACTCGCATTAATGTAAAACTGAATCAAATAGGTCAAATACGAGAATGGATTTCGAATACGTATATTTTGTGCAATCGTTGATCGGAACAGATAATCAGAGAGGCATAGCGAAAGAACTGAAGAATAGACAGCGAAACGAGACAGAGTGCAATGCGGAATGCGTGTGAGCCAATTCCATTTAATCAAGTGTTAATCAATATTTATAGTCACACAAAAATAAGTTATACAGATGTGATGAGTAGGATAAGTAATGCACACACATACGCTCATTTAACAACAGTCAAGATTGTTAAGCGACTAATGAACAAGGTCAAAATATGAATGAGTATATTAGCCTGTCAAGAAGCTGGAATACGTAATATCGCTTGAACATAGTAACAGTCACTACAACTAGATAAATTAAGTTTGTAAAGAAAAGTACTACCCTGTTCAAATTATCTGACAATTCGCGATGTATGTTTACCAACTATGACAGTTAGAAAGATTCTTATCATCCATATCTAAGCAAAGTTGCTTTAATGAACTACTCGACTACTTCAACTGATTGTAATAAAAATAATAATAATAATAATAATAATAATAATAATAATAATAATAATCAACATTCCCGTGAAACTGATGGTGCATTATACATTTTAACACATCCATCTAAGCAGGTAATATTGATGAATAAAAACAATAATTCGAATCGATCACATCATGACAATGATCTATCCACATTTAGTTGTTAATCTCTCGAGCGATAATCAGAGGTCGTGGGTTCGAATCTCGCAAAGAGACGCCGTGGATACGCACTGCTGAGGAGCCACACAATAGGTCGAAACGGTCGTCCAGTGCTTCTAGGTTTTTCATGGTGGTCTAGCTTTAATTGACTCATGATCTAAAGTACTAAAATTACTGGTCTTGAAATTTGACGTCGATTTCCGGTAGACTCTTATCGTCATTTACACTGTAGACGAAATCCACACCATCTGAATATGAATGTATCTGTCTCTTCGATTTATCATTCTTCATGTAGGTAAATGTACAGCATCATTAGTAATAGATTTACAAGGTAAACAAACGAAGAAAAAAAACGTGTAAACTAATCAAACGGATAGTAAAATGCATATTGTAAATTTATCGAATGGTTTGATACTGAAGTACACCTTTTAAGAATAGAAATATGATGATTGTTGTGGTAGAACAAACAATGAATTCCGATGTATACACTCGTCTAGAAAGAGAGTATGATCTGATTGCTTTGACGATGGATCATCTATCATACAGAATGATGACAATTACAATTCAACAGTAATTGAAGAAGGCGAGAAGAAATATTTGAGTAGATAAACATAAACTCATTTCGATGGAGTTTTGTTCTCTGAGCTGGATAGTTTGCTTGTGGAGCTTTCATCGTTTCCCTGAACTACATCATTAGCATAAACGTCATATAGAAGTAAAATGGTCGAATTTTTTTGATGATGTCGTTCAGAAGAACGATGAATGATCCACGACCAAACCATCCAGCTTAGAGAACAAAACTCCATTAAAATCGTCCACCTGAACTACAAATCTTTTCCACCATCTCATAAACTCATTTCATTCAACTAGGTTCTCGTCAGTTACTTATAATCTATAATACTTGAAAATTGGAATTATCACAGGACTCAACATACCTACATAGGTGAAGTTGGCTGTATGTAAACAGCTAGTTTAATAAAAGGGGATATAGATTCCCTCCATTCAAATTTGCAAGGTTGATGAGTAAATGTAGTAATCAACTACGGCTTCACTAATTTTCTCCTGACAACCATTTAGTTAACATGTAATTGATTTGATTACTAATAAGTTCAATCGAGTACATTCAAGTACTTTCACTCAAGAAATACAACAACTAGATATTCGGTCAACAAACATGTAATATTCAAACATAAATCAAATAAATTAAGTGATTATCATGGATTCCTGAGTGAAAGAACACTTTCATTAAAGCTAATGACTCATTAAAAGAGTGTGGAATAAACTCGAATAAACTAGATGATGAATGCTGAATGCAATCACTCATTTAATGTAATTCAACAAACCTACTATATTATGTATTTTCTCTTCAGTAGCGATCAGTAATTACTGCATTCACACATACGGTGATATGATTCAATATTCTTATCATGAGTTCTAGCAAAACAACAGACAACATGAAATCTGAGCACCTAGTTCGCCTCAAACAACATCTCCAAAATCATTACTAACAGAGAGCAGGTCAGCACTAGATCTCATGTGATCTAAGTATTCGAATATAATCAAACTACAACAACTTAATCATTCACAACTTATTCAAATCAAAATGGAAAGCTATGATCACTTAAATGTTTTATTTTAAACAACAAATTAACCACAAATGAGTACCACAACACTTTTCGACGAAATAAAGTCACAATAGTCAAGTGAAATGACATTCATACATTTCATGTTCATAGAAGTAATACAAGTAATTTAACCATATCGTGGAAGCGGAACTGCACGTTCCATTCTCCATGGATTTTCATGGTCTACCGCAAGTGAATATTCTCCAACTTCCAGTTCGTCATTGTTCGATACATCGATATTTTATGTGAAGTATTAACATGATGAACAAAAAATAAATAGTTAGAAATTGTTGTACTGGTTGTTTCGTTAAGCTGTCTAACTCATCAGTGAATTCCCTGAATTTAAATTATACTCGACAACTTATTGACAATCATAACATTCTGATGATCGTGATAATAAAAGAGAATCATTAATTTTTGTGTTTCATTAGATAGACATGTAGTCGAAGTAATCCATTCTTTTATTCGACTTATAACATCATATTACTCACTAACCCTAATCATTGTATCCATCGTTAGACCAGACGTATATTTCGATATCGATCATCATATAAAATAACTGGAGTCCGACATCGGTCATTAAAGTGAAATAGCAGTCCATTAAACTGTCGTGACCCATCTGAAAATCAATATTCGATATGTGTGTGTGGGTGTGTGTACAAGATCTATGATGTTCTAGTCCACTTAATAAATAGATGTTGCATGCAAAGGCGATTCTCGCTGTGGAATTCATTTCAAGCTGTAACATTCACCGTGATTGCTTCTTTCTATCCACCCACTTGCAATGCACTACAATCACATGTACATGTAAATAGTGATAGGTAATTATCATGGACTACTCAGTGAAAAGTACACCTCGATTAACGAACGCTACTATTGATGAGTGTAGTTTATAACAAACGATCATCAACATTTTAATGAAGATTACACCTACCTGTTGACAATGAATTGATTCTACTCATCTCCAGTATTATGTATGTTATAATCTGAATAATCAACAATTTCCAATACATAATAGTAAACTAAGTACAGTAATGTTGATCACTTATCTCTTATCTATTCAACTGTATCTATACAGATGTCTGTATATATATAGACAGATAGATAGATGTATATGATGAATATTTAACGACATAGTTCAGGTCATTAGATATTCATTAAATATTTATGACTTGGCAACAAATAACTCATCATAGTGATTGATGTTTATTTATATAAATCGAGTCAAATGATTCAATTGTTTACCTTTTAATTACAACTCAATTATTCATTATTCATTATTCACATATATAATGACTTCTCTACTCAATAGTTGGCGCCCAATTTCTGTCAAACTCTCCGTTCTAATCTTGACCAATATTCGTCTACATTATCGTTAGCATTATTATTATTATTATTATTATTATTATTATTATTATTATTATTATTATTATTTGACATGAATAAAATGAAATAAAATTCATTTGTGCCAAAACATAATCGCTAACAGCTTTGCTTATAGTCATTGTCGAGAATGAAGTTTGCATAAATTTATTTGAATATAGTGAAGCTTAGTCTTCCTCAATTATTGTAAAATATTAAGTGATAATATCTCGAGTTGCCATGTGCACTTCTACGTCTGATGCTTCTGGCATCCAAAAACCGAATTCGCATTATGTCACCACTTAGAGGCGACTGAAATAGTCTCATATAGAATTAGCCATTGACAGGACATTTTATGCAGTTCAACTTGTCATTATTGAAAAGAAGAAGTCTATGTTACACCAAAATCAGAAACAACGCAGAAGCGATTATGTGACATCTCACTGTTTCTACCAATTTACATGCATTTGCCAAAACACGTACATAGGGAAGAGCAATCGTAATCTGCAATTAAGGGTGACGGAACATATACCTGAATGACTGCAGAAACAAATGAATTGCAATGATCAAATAAGATCACAGAATAGACAGTCATCTTCCTCCATTGTGAAACATTTACTTGACACTGGTCATCAGGTTGATATCATGTCAGCATTTGTGGTGTTGTACAAAAGCCTTCAAGGACATATGCGAAGATTAGTTGAAGCCTCGGATATGCGGGAACTGAAACCTTATTTATGTGTTCAAATACAATTTGTCCTTACACTTAACCTACCCTGATAATACTGATTTATTATCCAGAGTGATTATCACATTGTTTTTGTATTTGTCTACTTTGTTTTTCTTTCTAACAGCTTACCTTTATTCAGTCTAGTTGGGTAAGTTATTCGTTGCTTGACATAAACCTGTTAACCGTCATCGGAGAGTCTCTGGTCCGAAATTATACAAATTTTCCTCCCTCTTATGTTCACTCGAAATGTGCAAAGGTGAAACAAATCCTAATACATTACAGTCTTTTGTAGTTTCATTTATTGAAGCATCAGACGGAATTTTCTACCGATATGTGAGAGGTCACTTGTTGCTTAAGAAACAAAAGTGGTCAAATGCTTTTAGACCTGCAGCGACGCTTCAAGAACAATGCAATACGAACTTCGTTGAAACAACTCATCGGATTTTGAAGCTGCACAAGCTAAATAAAACATCATCCGTGTTGAGATCCATATTCAGTGTGCTTCTTCAGACTGGATATTGGATGGAATCGCGAATTCAGAAATACACAGCTGATTGTCGCAACAAAATGATTATCGGTGTGCAGCCACAAACACCTTTCACCTATCTACAGTTGACCTATAAGTTCTCGTACAAAAATATCTAAACGAGTAGTATATTATGTGTGATCGAAATGTATTGCACAAATATATCGTTACATAATTCCGATCACTTTCATCTTCTCATTGTATTATCGAAATATAAGAGAAATATCAATCTCTATATCTCTATGTTGTCTTATAAAACAGCATTCATTTCAGTAAACAAATATGAATATAGTTCAGTTTGCTGTTAAGGATAGAAACAGTTTTCAATTTTATCTAAACAATTTAGTTATTTGTCCTTAATCATCTGAAATCGTTCCTTCTTCTTCCAATGTGATTTTGTTGCACCGTTTGGTTTATGCTGCAATACAGTAGTTTGGAGTTCAGAGTTATGATCAGTTTCATTGTATTTGAACACTTTCCTTTCATCTGGAATAGAAATCAAGTTACATATGAGATTTTGTCAATTAGTTTCAGTTGAATGTTTAATAATCTGATAGTTTTGATAGAAAACTGTAAAACAAACACTCGACTGAACATTACTTACTTACTTACTTCGTTACATACACCTGTTACCCAGAATGGAGCGTAGGTCCCTGACCACCATACTCAAACTCACTCTGTCCTGTATCTACCTTTCTAGTTCTATCCAAATGTTGTTCGTTCTTCTCATTTCTGTCTCCATTTATCAGTGTAATGTGTTGTTTG